AGGCTCTGCCTTCCTGAACGTTCCCCACACAGCTGCCCTCTCCCACGCTGGTACACAAGGCTTCTGTCTGTACTCATGTGATGGGTCTCTCCCACAGCCCTTATCGCCACACACACTGTCGGTATCAACTTATGGGACTCTCCCAGACTGTGAGCTGCTTGAGAACAAAAGCCAAAGCATGGCCGGGGATTTCCCTCTGTGGTTCGTTGGCCTGCCTTGCAAGCACAAGGACCCGAGTTCAATCCCTGATACCAAAAAAAAAAAAAAGCAAAGCCAAAGCATGCTTGAGAAGAAGGTAAAAGGCTCTGTAGAGCAATGAGAAACCTCCAGCTTTTACTTTTACTTGACTCTGAATCCCAGGTACCTACACAGACAGTCTGGAGATGAGCAACATTCAAATGGTAGCAATTATCAATATCACCAGACAGCTGTGTATCCTTGATTGCCAGCATGTGACTATTTACTATTGTAATTATCACTGGAACCAATATTATTAACACAGGACCACTGAAGAAGACTGAGTCTAGACACTGGCTCATAGTAAAGTCACAGTCTACTCCAGGCAGAAGGTAACAGGTTGGGGACAGATCAAGACAGAAAGTGCATGGGAAAGGATGGGGCTTCTAGAGCCTTGGAACCACAATCATCCTCTTCCTTTGCAAAGCATGTGACAGTTTATAAAGCAATTCCATATTCATTATATCATTTAGTGCCTACAATCTCTGCTGTGAAGCAGGTGGCACTACGCCCATTTTACAAATGAGGAAATTATTCTCACAGAAGGGAAATGATTTGCTTACAGTCACCTGGCCAAAAGTGGTGGGTGAGGCTTAGCAGTCAGGCCTTACAACAGCATGTTCTGCGTTCTCAGAGTGGCCCCAAATTGGCTACAGTCACCTGAAGCCAATGAGAGAATATGCCAGCTCCACCCACGAAACCAGGGCAAGACCTCCAGAGGTCAGGGGCTCCCCAAAGTCAAGCATCAAAGCAGCCAGAGAAGATCAAGAGGCAAGAAAGAGCCCAGTCCAAATCACCTCGGGGGCTGAACTGGGGTAGCTCTGATTAGCAATTCAGAAGCCTCAAATAGTAGGACATAAAGAGCCAACCATGCCAGTATTCTCCGCTAAAAAAAAAAAGTCGACCACAGGAATATTGCCTTTTAATCCCACTTATGTAAAATAAATTGTTCATACAGCCTCATGTTAAATCTTTGACATAAGCAATGTCACCATTTTACACACAAGGAAACCAAAGGTCAGTGAGTGCATGGGATGTGCCTGTGCCACCCAGATAAAAGGAGACAGGGAGGAGAATGATACCCAAAGATGCCTGCTCATAGCCCTCACCACACTCATCAGCTTCCCTAAGCCCTTTGCCTTTGATTCCAAGCTTCCAACAACCCCACCCCCCACACTTGCCTTTCTTTGTGTTCCGTCTGATAAGGGTCTTTCAAGATACAGCCTAGTGTGGGCCCCTGGTCAGCAGCCTAGGATGCAGGAGGCCTGTGTGATCAGGGGTGGTGGTGGCAAGAATAGCCACAAAGACCAACGCCGGGACCAGCTGGGGGCCTGGACATCTACCCCCCAGAGCAGAACTACTTTCCAGAAGTATGAGGAGGAGGAGATATTTAGGAGGCCCAGCCCCAAAACCTAGTGGACTGCAGGGCCGTACAGGCCCATGATACCAGAAACAGACACCCCTGAACGAGAAGACAAGAGTTCAGTTCCAGACTCCGCCACCAGCCGGCTGACAACCTCCAGATCACCTCAGCTTTCAGAGCACCATGGCCTAGCAAAAAGGAGAAGAGCAACACCTGCCCTCCTTACCAGAGTGGGGTGGGTGGGGTAAAACAGGAAGAGCACGATACTCATTTTAAAGCAGCCATTTTATAATGTAGACATGTATCAAAACATAACGCTGTCTACCACAAATATTCTCCACTTTTCCTTGTCAAATAAAAATAAATAGGAAATAACGGGTAAGGTAATCTGAGGATAATTAAAATCACGGTTTCTGAAACCTACTCAAGTCTACAATTCTTCTTTCATTCTATAAACAAATAGCAACCCTTTGACACAGAGCTGCATGGTGGCTTCTGCATGACAGCACTGCCCACACAACACTGACTTCCAGAACTGCAGTAGGTGTAGAGTTTGGAACCCGTTTCATTATGCAGACACAACCACTGACTGCAGGGAGTCAATGTGAGGGAGCAGGCTCTTGCCATTTGCTTATGAATCCTCATAGAGATTCCCTGGAGCCCTCTTCTGGGTTAGGCTGGCCCAATTCCTCCTCCAGCAAAACCTGAGGGACTGGCACGGCTAGGAACACTACTGAGACTCAGAGCCAGCTGACTTCATGCTTAAGTAATTTCTAACTCCACGGCTTTCTTATTTAAAACTTACCCACTTTTGCAGTTATTCTTACTCTGAGAATTGTGCAGCTGAATGAAAAGGAAAGCAGCCAAGGGAATGGGGTTGTAGGAGGGAAGGGGCAGCCTGAGAGAATAGAAACTGAATGTAAAAATGTAGCTCTGTAGTTGAAGCAAGGACTGATTAACTGGCAGGAAACTTCATGACATAGAAGGCTTAAAAGAACAGTTACACTGGTTTTGCACAGGCCTGTTTTCCAGAAACAGCAAACTCTCGGCACGCAGTTCAGAGGCATGCTTTCCTTGGCCTGTAGGCGCAATATTATCTTCCTACTCCCAACCATGGTTTTCAAAAAAATTTTAATCAGTTGCCAATTTACTTCAAATTGAGCTCAAGTTCCCACTTTTTCCTAAAAACTTTTAAGACCTAGCAACTCAGGTCCTCACGATAGGACAGTTCCAAGGGAAGCTGGAACCACAGTTGGGCACATGCTTTCCGGCTGCCACAAACCTGGCCAGCTTCCCTTATTTTTGACTCAGGACTGGCTTCTGCAGCATTTGAACATGTGACTCCTAATGGACACGAAGCATTGTGGATGAATGTTCATTCTGAACTATTGCAGGCCAGCGGTTGGGGGCCTGGCTATAACCTACTGGCTTCTAAAACTTCTAGTCAGAACAAAGGAACCAGAAGACCTGGAATGGAGAAACCTTTGACTACGATCTGGGAGCATCTTATCTTCTGTGTGTCAGCCAGCCAACAGAAGGCCTCCCCGTGAGGGAAGGGGAGAGGGGATTGACGCAGCTTGAAGTTGAAAGTCCGTTTATTAACCTCTACTAATGCTGAGAGCAAAAAAAAAAGGTAAATGAGATGACTGCAGACAGGATTTTAAAATCAGAACTGATAAAACTGACTTAACGATTGCAGTAGGTGTGTTTCCCAAGGACAAGGCTTATATAGATAAGGCTCATACAACCATAGAGCTCCGAACCCTCTCTGAACCCTACCAGGGGCAGGGCACTAACAAATACACTGTGGGGTGGAATTTACATTGGTGAGATTCTCCACTTGAGAGCATTTGCACCATGGGATAAAGAGAGAATGTTCCCAGCTGGAAAACAAGGAACGCCTTGCCACTGCAAGGCTGGTGAGCAGAGTTAGCCATCTTATACCAAGTCAGCCCTGATGGAAAATTAATTTTTAACGCCAATGTAAGTGATGGTATCAACTGGTGCAGTGCTGAAAATTCCCAGCTATGAAATTTTCTTAAAGTTGATGCATATTTCCATTCCCTAAAAGAATGCGGATGTTAACTGAACTTGTATATCACACTTTGCTCCTTCATATTTTAAATCAATTCATAACGTGACAGAATGAAAGCAACGTGACATGGGAAAGCAAAGTCTGATGGAAGGGAAAGGACGGACGAGCCTAAGAACCCTGGCAATCAAGAAGGTGAGAGTAGGAGATCAGCAACTGGGAGAAGAAGAGCACAAGAGTGTAATCAGTAGTAATATCTGCTGGGGCCAGCTCTACTTCTGAAAATAACTAAATGACATAAGTAGGCACATTTCTGCCCTGGCATCTGTCATGGCTGTCACCAAAATATCAGAGAATAAGCTTCAGGCCAACTACAATGACAAATACTAGTGAAGATCCTTGTGGCTTATGAAAGAGATGCCTCTAATCTCAGCTTAAAAGGGAGTAGGGAAACAATTTAAGGCAGCCACTTTAATGTCTGTACCAAAGGTAGAACATCCCACTTCATTCTCATCATCCCTAAAAGCACACACACATAAATGCAATAGATCACCCTAAAAGGATTAATATATTTTTCTAAAAGTGAAATTGAAGGTCTAATCATTTTAGCCTTATACGAGATGGTGGGTACAGCCAGGTGCAAATCATATCCTGAGAGAAGTGCTCATATTTTACATTCAAACTGTTATGAACTTGTATACAGAGAATTATTGCAATGGCAGCATCTTCATCTCCTAGTAACCAAAACAGTTGCCTTCTATGAAGATCACCCAATAAGAGATTACAAACATTTTCTTTTCTTAGTATTCATAAGGGGAAGAGAAAAAAAATGAATCAGAGTTCAAGTAATGACTCTTATTCAGAGGACAAAGCAGTCAAAGACACATTTTAATACAAAATTGTGCTCTCTAGTTTCTATACCCAAAGTCAGTTGTACTAGAAAACCTAATGTGAATAGATTCTGTATTGCATTGAAATGCAAAAGAAAAAAAAATAAACACAGTCCTCCTTATTACAGCAATCACTGAAAAAATACAGAACAGTGAGGACAACACAGATTGGATCATAATGCTACACAAAACAATCCCATTTTTTTAAACCAAAAATAAAAGAAATCTTACCTTAAAAATAGGCAAAGACCTAAAGAGATGGCCACAGGACCCAGTACCAGCTTAATTCTTTGGGGTCCCTGTTTTGCCCAGTGCTTCACTCTGCCAAGTCATCTATATCCACACAACTCGTTCTTCTGGATCCCTGAATGTTACACATGCTCATCCAGCCCACCTCCCCGCAGCAAACATGTAGTAAGAGGGAGCTCAGGAGCCAGAGCTGCTGGGGAAGATTGTTAAGGATGAAGAGGGACCTTACCACTTCTGGGAGCAGCCTGGTTGAGAGATCGTGGATAGCTTTGACCACTATACAAATGGATGACAGAAGGAATATCACCCCCAGGATGACACAGGCTCTGCAAAAAAAACAAAACATCGATAGTCTTAACTGAGAGAACACCACACTGCTGAAGACTTGGCACAGTTGACAGGACACAATTTTGCAATTGAATTCACATCGCCACGCCGGCAGAGTAAGCACCCACAGTCCCAGGATTGATACAAATCCACCCCTGGGAGTATACAGTTCAGGATTCTATCACCAAAGGCAGTCTCACGGGAAAGGGGCTCTCCATCCTGCATCATCTAGCAGCATGACACAGAAGAGAGAAGGGTCTTCCAGACCACAAACTCATCTCCGTTGTCTGGCAAACAGGATGCTTCATTCCACAAAGGGGAGGTTAAAAAGTATAATAGCAAAAGTGTGGAGGCTCTGGTATCAGATATTCCCAAGCTCCACCATTTGACTTGCTACAAGGTCTTGGTCAAGGAACTGAATCTCCTTTAAATGACAGCCCCTTGCCTTTCAGATGAGAATAACATTTCTTCCCAAAGATGAAAAGAGATAATGCACAAAGCATAGCAAAGTAACCCATTGTTAGCTTAGATAAAGGAAATACACTCAGCATGCTTCTTTCAGATAAGATGGGAGAGACCTCTTTGGATTTTTCCCAATGACAAAAAAAGCAAGAATTTGACAAGTGAGAGAGACAGAGAGAGTCTTAATATTTTTTAAAAACAGAAATGACAAGAAGAGAGGAGGAATGAGACCAACCCAGAGAGCCACCACAGAAGGAGCAAGTTAGGAGCATTACCATGGGTGATGCTACAGGGTACACAACTGAGGATATGGGGACAAGGAAATCTACATGGCTCCGGCATCTGACAACCACTCAACAAATATCTGGAGAAAGAAAATAAGAATTAAAATGAGGAAATGATAATATTAATGCAAGGGGTTGAGAGAGAGACAGAGACACAGAGACAGAGACAGAATGAATGAATTCCCATTCCAACTTAATGTACTGTCATGTGGCAGTCTACTCTTCCTCCAAGCTATCAAATAAGTCTGTTTTTTATTATCCGTTTTGGACTCCTTTCTCTGGACTAACAGCATGGTCCCAAACTGCTCATGTAACTTTGAGGGAGCACCTACTTATGATCCTAATAAACCTGTAGACAAACACCCCCCCCCATTTTGAAGACAGGACTAAAGACAGGTAAATAAAGCCGCATAAAATCCACTTAGTAGGCTTCTTGCTCACACTCTAGTTGTATTCTCCAAAGATAGACAGAAGGAAAGAATCTTCGTAGGTTAGATCAAAACACAAAAAGAACATAGAGACAGAGGGAAAAGTAATGAACGACCTGGAGATCTTGGTGAAAATTTGATCATACAGATGAACTGCCGTGGGTGCCATGCATCCTTGTAATGAGCCCCAAGATAGAAACACACACACACAATGGGGAGAAAAGAGATTGGAGGCAGTAAGAACATGCTGATTCAGCTAACCTGCTAATGGAGGCAATGCACCTAGGACCGGTATAAAGACCAATCGGGGACAAAAGGGATTCGTGGGCAAGCAAGGAACTCCTACTGGAGAGCTCTTGAATAACTAGGGACTGGAGCAAAGGGAGGAATCTCAAGAGCAGTGAATCAATGCTCTCAAAGCAACTGGTTCCTGACTACCAAGTTCTCCCCTGAAAGATGACTGTGGGCCAGCTGTGTTCAGTGCTTGCAGTAACCACTTCTACCTATAAGCACATGGTCTGTGAAAAGTTCCAGTGCAGGGAGAGGCCTAAGTTAATCTAGATCTCCCAGGTAAATTTTGCAATGTCTTTCCCAGCCCCTACAGTGCACTGCCCTCGGTGGGGAAGCTGAGATATTTGTTGTTTTTTAAATGTTGCCTGAGGACCACTCTGACTCAGTTTTATCAGAATCTCAGGGTGAAGCCAGCCTCTGCACTTGTTTAAAGGCTTCCAAAGAATTCTAATGGGCATTGGCCTAGTGTAATTCTAATTTCATTCTAATGCAAGGCCCAGACCCAAGTGAGGTCCTGTTCCTAAGGAGCTTCCACTATGGAGTGAAGCACATAGCTCTCCAGAACAGAGGCAGGAAAGCAGAGGTCATTCCAGATAGTGAGGAAGGCTGGGGCCTCATCCCTGAGAGGCCTCCCTGACCCCATATATGCATTTACTGTTCATCATCTTCTCCCTGAGAAATGAGCAGAGCAGCCACATGTGCACGCTAGACCTTCTACAGGTGCCTTGTCATTGCCCCCTCATCTCCATACTCTACTGAAGGAAAAGGAAACAAACGTCTGCACAGGGAATGTCTGTGACACTACAGAGCCTATCTTCAGCCATTAGCACTGCAGGCATGCTTCCACCAAACACGAAAATTGGGTCTCATTACTTAAGGAAACAAGTATGAACAATTCAAGGACCTTGACACATAATTTCTGTTACATATCTTTAATCAAAACTACACTATCTTCTATTTCCCAGGGTCTACAGTAGCAGGTGTTCCAAATGCATTGGAAGAGTGGACAGAACACACTAATTTATCTGTAAGTTGCCTTCCATGGAGTCTAAGGCTCTACCAGTCACTTTCTGATGGTGTGGAGAGAAGGAAAGAGATCCCACATCCTACCAAATGCCCATGGAACAGGCTATATTGTATAGTCATTCTGAAATATACTGAAAATTAAAAGAAATTTATAATCTGGCGTAGTGAAGTTTTGCATATACATGTAATCATAGTTCCTTCACCAATCTGCCTATGAATGTGTTCCAAATTTTCACAAAGGACTATTTTCCTCTTCTTTTCAATGTATTACAAATTAGAAAGCCACAGTCACCCTTCCCTCAACACTGCTGGAGCCAGTGTGGTACAGCCTAGCTGCTCTGACAATCTAAAGGAGCTATGAATAGCAGAGAGTGTGATGCTATTTTCTAGCACTGTGTTAATAATATATTGTGTTTACACAGCAGCTTTCCCCACAGGCTCTCAGAGTTTCCACCTTGGCTCTGAAATCGCACAGAGGTTGCTCCCCAGACATAGATTTTTATTTTTCTGTTATTTTATGGACAGGGAAGGGGGAAAGTCAAGGTTTGGGAGGCTACACAACATTATCCAAGGAGGAGTTAAGTCCACCCAGAGATAGACCCCTCCACTGACACCCTCCCAGTGGTCAGGCCCAGTCAACCAACTAAGCACTAAAAGGCTCTGACATCCATGTCACATACTCGGCACCACCACTCTGGGACCACCGGTATCTCCAGGATGCTGTCAAAGTTTAGGTCAGGCACAAACACTGCAGATGTGGCTGCTTCTGCATCTGTACATGTGAGCTGTTTCCAAGCTTGGGAGGTGGAGGAGCAGCTGCTCTCTCAGCACATGTGGCCTGTGCCTTAACAGGATGGCCTGGAAGGTGACAAGAGCACTGAGAAGTAAGGTCACCAGAAAGAACACAGACTCTTTTCTCTTCTCCCCATACACTGGAGGACAACTCTGAGTTAGAAAGAGGCAAATGAATCACCATCCCCTTCAACCTAATCCCCCAATCAATTAAGACTAAAACAGCTTAAGCTCCCATGGGACCAGCGGCTGTCAGAGTGGGGCCCACAGATGAACAGCATCCATAGCACCCAGGGACCTTGTCAGAAAAGCAGCTTCTGAGTTAGTCCACTAGGACCCAGAAATCTCCATTTTAATAAGAAGCTTTCCAAGTGATCCCGATGCACACTGTATTAAGACAGTTAATGTCTGAAAGGCCAGTACAAGCCAGAGAAATTATTAAAGTCACTTTAAAGAAATGATTAAAGATAGTTAAACCTATGTTTTGTTGTTCTGCTGAAGGCTGTGAATTATTAGTTGGGTACAAGACTGCAAAATCAATTACTTAGAGGCATTGATTTTTGCCACTAAAATTATAAAGGCAAAAACCTATCAGGTATTCACACCCAAAATGATGGGAGGTGAAAATCTGGCTCCTTGTCAACTGCCAGCTTATCTGCCCACAGCTAACATTAATGAAGCCTGAGTCCTGTCATACTAATTCTAAGTGATTTCTCCTCAGTTCAAAAGAGCCATGCATAAGAAGCCTCTTCTATAACTCCAATTTACAAGACCCCCAAAACACAGAGCAGCTCTGACCATTACCGAATTAACTCAACAGTTTTGAATGTGATGGTTTTACTTTCAACCTCATCTCTAGAGAACTTGCCTAAAAATCAACAAATAGGACCATATCAAATTAAAAAGCTTCTGCACAGCAAAAGAAACAGAGTGAAAAGAAAACCTACAGAATAGGAAAAATTTTGGCAGCTATTCCTTAGACAGGGGACTAATACGTAGAATACAGAAAGAACTCAAAAAATTAGACCCCTCCAATAAAAGACCTAATCAAAAATGGGCAAGGGAAATGAATAGACACTTCACAGAAGTACAAATGGTTAATATATACATGAAGAAATGCTCACCATCACTAACCACTATAGCAATGCAAATTAAAACAACACTGAGATTCCGTCTTACCCCAGAAAGAATGGCCATCATCAAAAAATCAAATAACAACAAATGCTGGTAAGCCTTCTGGGGAAAAAGGAACCCTTCTACACTGTTTGGAGAAATACAAACTAGTACAACCACAGTGGAAATTAGTGTGGAGATTACTCAAAAAACTAAAAGCTATTCCATTTGGCCCAGCTATTCCCCTTCCAGGTATATTCTCAAAAGAGTTAAAGGAATCATATTACAGCAATACATGCATACCCATGTTTACAGCAGCACAGTTCGTAATAGCTAAATCTTGGAAACAGCCTACATGTCCACTGACAGATCAATGGATAAAGGAAGTGTGGTATTTAGACACAATGGAGTACTACTCTGCTATAAAGAAAGATAAACCTGAGTCATTTGTAGGAAAATGGATGAACCTTGAAACCAAATGTTAAGTGAAATTAGACACACAAGCTTAAATATCACATGGTTTCTCTTATGTGGGAAACCCAAATTATAAAGAACAAAATAAAAGATAACAAGGAAGTAGGATGATGGACCTATCTTAAATGA